AGACGAGTGCCGAACCTCTCTGGGCAGGAGGGCGATCGTAGGCCTCGGTGACCCCTCCTGGCTTCCCAGCAAAGGCACCTCTGGATCCTACAGGCTTCCGTCATCTTCCAGGGTGCTCCCTGCGCAGAGATTAATTTGTTTACTCCCTCGCCTGGAGATGAGCGGAGAGAACTAATCGTCCGTCAGCCACGGCTCCCCCAGCCTCGCGCCGCCCCGCCCTGAATGTCCATTTTCTGGCAAAATATGTCCTTGCCGCGGACAAGGATGCTTGGAAAAATGCTAATTTGATCCTCGAATTAAAATTTTTCCCCTTACCTTCCTTTTAATAAAAATGAAGCATCCGGAAACATTGCCACCGCGCAGAGGAGAAAGATCTGACATAATTTTTAAAGCGCCTTCAATCATGCTGCCTTCTGAACACTCTGTCCTCTCACCCTGACCCCCTCCCCATCTTCCTACCCCCTGAGGCAGCATTTACATTTCTTAATAACCCCTCATTAATATTCATGAGAAGGGGCGGGTAATAATGGCTGAGCACACCGCACTAATTCAATTTCCACCCGCCTCAGCGTGTTTACTTAATCACCAAGGGACCCGGGTTACTCAGTACAATTATTTATTCGGAATTAGATCTGGAGGCATCTGGACTGGAAACAGGGAACCAAGAGCAAAATGGAAATCGAATTCTGTTCGTCCTCCTCTCGCCACCGCTGCCTCCTGACTGTGTGCCAATGTTCCAGGCGGCCACGGGGCCTGCAGGACAAGCCGCGGTGCCGGCTGGGCAGCTCCTGCAGGGACTGCCTGTACCTGGGCTGAGTGTGTTCCAGGTGGTCTGGCCCAGGCAGGGATCTCTCACTGATGGTGGCCTAGGAGGTGTCACCAGGCCCAGTGGTGAGCCAGGTGCACTGTCCCACCTAAGAGCGTGGCCGGCCAGAGGTGGGCCACCGGGAAAAGCTGGGTTATTGGCCCAGCCTGGACACGCAGTATGGACAGACACTTGATCAGGTCCCCATATAGAGGCGAGAGTTTGTGACATGGGCTTAAATAATGCCTGCTCACCATCAGCCCTCTGCCTGACTGTCACCTGCTCCAGGTTTCGGAGACTAGGTTAGGTTCTATTATACACCTCCTATCACAAAAAACAGGATGGGCTCGGTCACAGCACCTTGTCCACACAGTTGTTTCCGATTAGTTTTTCAGGCTCTGTTTCTCCCAGGAGACTGCCAGCTCCATGGAGGCAGGTCCCACGGCTGTCCTCCTGGCCTTAAGGTGTCCCCAGCATCTGTCAATGCCCAGCACAGAGGAGATGCTTGGCAAATATTTGTTGACCCCTTGACTGACTTACTGATTATCAAGATTTCATTTCCTTATCAAAAATTTTTCCTTATCAAAATAAAGCTAAGAATACCCATCCTGCACGGTTGCCGTGAGGAATCGGCATTATCATCGTAAAGCGCATTCAGAGGATTCTGGTGCAAAGTGTGCTGAGCCCAGTACCTGACATGGAATAAACACCCGGTTAACATAAGATGCTGTCATTATCGTTACTCTTGTTTCTAATCGTGTCGGATCACAGAAGGGCTAACTGTGGCGGGCATAGGCAGACCCAGAGGAGCCTGGGCTTGGAGGTGCTACTCAGTCTTGAAATGACCTTCCAAGTTCACACGGCTAGTAAGGTCAAGCCTCAGTCCTGGCTTTGTTTCTTGAAGGTTGGATGACATTGGCAAGTTGCTTGACTTTTCCAAGCCTCAGTTTCCTCCTCTGTGAGATGGGAATAATAATGGAGGACACCTACTGGATTGCTAGGGAGGACCCAGCGAGGTCCGTTATGCAATTTAGCACGGAAGCTAGTTCATAAACTTAATAAAAAGGGCTACTGGTGTGGCAGATGTGGTGGGTAGTAGCCCAGGCAGAGGGACTGGCATGCATATGTATTGTTAACTCACTCATTAATTAATTTGTTCATTCATTTAACATGCATTCATTAGCCCCAGGCAGGTGCCTGGCCTGGTGCTGGGCTCCGAGGGAGCAGAGGGGAAGGACAGGCAGCCCCCTCAGCCCAGGGGCTCCTGCGGACACGAAAGATGAAACAGCAAGGCAAGTCACAGGCACCTCGGCAAATGCCAAGGTTGGGAAGGGGTTAGGCAAAGGTGGCTGAAGGGCTGGCATCTGGGGCAAGAAGAATTTGGGCCAGAGTGAATGGGAGGAGTGTTCTGAGCAGAGGAACCAGCAGGCGCATAGGCCTGGCGGATGGGGATCTTCTGTTGCTTATGGCCAAAGCATCCTCCTCTGACACACCTTGGGTAAGCTATCCCCTCTACTTGGACTGCACCCCTCCCTCTACCTTCACGCTCAGTTAACCCCTGTCCATCCTCAAAGCCCAGCTCCAAGTGTCCAATTGTCCAATTTTCTGACTTCTGGCAAAGCCACAGCTCTTTCCTTGTGTTCTCCAGGACTGTGCTCCTACCCCGTCCTCAGACTTCTCGTGGAGTACCGTCTGGTCTGCGCAGTATTGTCTGTCTCGAGTTCTCACCCTCCTGCTGCTCTGCTCTATACGCAGGGGCCGGGTTTGGCCAATAGGAGACACTGCGGGCCGAGAGGGGTTTCTCCTCTAGGCCTGGGCAGCATCTGCAGCAGTGGCTGCATCTCCCCATGTCTCCAGCTCCCCTGGAGCTCCCTTGTGGTCCCATAGTCCACCAAGTGACCTTGCTCCTGGGCTGGCAACACCACCTCCTCCTTCTGGCCCTCAGGTCTATGGGATTGGCAGCCTCCAGCTGTTGCTAGTCTTTGGGCTCCTTCGCTGCCTCCAGTTGGCTTCTCAGCTCTTTCATCACCCACCGTTCCCTAGATTAAAGTTCCCCTTTTGAAAACACTCAAGTGTTCCCTGGTTAGACACTCACCAATACAATTCCCTGCCGGGCTGCGAGCTCCGGGTGGGAAGGCCTCCGTCTGGCATCCCCAGGGCCTGGACACAGAGAAGCTCTCCAGAGGTGAACGAATGAATGAATGAATGAAAGACTTTTGATTACACGACCTGTCTAGCCACCTCTACTCTTGCTTAGCAAAAGAGAGGAGGCATAAGGGGAAAGAATTGCTCCTTGAGGTTAACAAACGTTTGTATTAAGACAATATTGACAATAATACTACTACTAAAGAAGTGATTGGCAAACAGGAAAGGGCTTTATATTAAGAGCTCTAAGCCTGCAACCCTCTTTGTAAACTGTAAAGTTCGGTGCTCTCATTGGGCTGTCCTGTTTCATCCCAGCTCAGCGTTTTTGCCAAGGGGCAGGAGGCCAAGAGAAAACAGAGATTGGAGGCAATGGCTTTGCCCAAGAACAAAAGGCAGGGAGGAGCGCGAGGCCCAGTGGATGATTTAATCATGCAGGCTCATTTAGAGAGGCCTCTTCCCTCCTTTCCTGCCTCCAAAGCACCTGGACCCTCAGTGCCCAGCCAAGTCCTTTCATTAAAATTCCTCAGAACTAGGGCTGAGTTGGAAGACAGTCAAGGCCCGCCAGCTTGTGTGCCAGAGAAGGTGAGAGGGCTGCGGGAGGGGACATTTCTCTAGAAGGGAGGGAGGACCGTGGGAGAATGAGTGAAAGGGAAACTTACAGATGTGAAGGACTGACCCAGCCTGTCTTAGGTTGGGTTCCCTGAGAAGCAGAGCCTAAAACAAGGACTTAGGAGGCAGGAGAGCAGGACAGGGAAGGAGCTGGTTGCCCGGGTGGGTAATTGGGGATCAGTTCTGGAAGAGCCCCTGAGTGCTATGAAGTATGCATCTCAGATCTGCTCCCCCAGAGGGTAGGAGGCTGGAGTATGTATCCTCCAGCTCCCACTGCCCCGGGTGGGACAATAACTCCCTCACACCTTTGGGCTGTGCCCATGGGTCTGCTGAGCAAGGGACCAGGGCTTCCAAGACAGTCGGAGGTGGAAAAGCCGAGAGAGTAGGCAGGCACTGGAGGTGGGATGCTGTCACTGTGGCTGGAACGGTGCAGCGGCTGCAGCTGAGGTCAGAGGGGGATGCAGGGCTGTGGCTCAGGGGCACCTGCAACGTCTACCACGCCACACTGCCCCAGATGTTCTCCAGCCTGAGTCCAGTCCCCGGGATCCGTGGCCATTCCTTCCTTCCTGCATTCACTCAACAAACACTTCCTGAGCACCTACGCCGTGCCAAGAATTGCGCTAGGCACTGGGGGGAGTGAACAAGACAGGCGTGGCCCCTGGCCCCGCACTGCTCACATTCACATTTAGAAGGCAGACAATAAATAAGTGCATGTGCAAATAAATACGATGCTTTCAGAGAGTGGTGAGTTTTCCCAAAGCAAGAAACAGGAAGATGGACCAGGGAGAAAGCATGGGCTGCCAGGGAGGGTCACTCTGGGTAGGTGACCCCTGAGCAGAGACCACGTGCTGGGAAGGAGTGGCCACACGTCTCCCACCACCAATGGCTTCTGACTCCATGGTTCTGAAAATTTGAGGCTTCAGGGAGTGATGCGATATAAAAAAATTTTTTAAGAACCAATGTAGGGTTATTAACATTTTATTTTGCCAAGTAAAAACATTAAACGAATCCAACCAACAACGATCATTTGTCATCATCATGATTTCATCAGTAAAAGGACATTTTAAACATTCCAGAAGTTGGAAGAATATGATCTCAGAATAAAAGACTGTCCTTTAAATAAAATAAATTTAACTTTATCAAAAAATCCCTTATTTTCCTCATTTTGGCCTGACTCATTTTTTGTCTTTTTTTTTTTTTTTTAGACAGAGTCTCACTCTGTCACCCCAGCTAGAGGCTGGAGTGCAATGGTGTAATTATAGCTCACAGCAACATCAAACTCCTGGGCTCAAGCGATCCTCCTGCCTCAGCCTCCCAAGTAGCTGGGACTACAGGTATGTGCCATGATGCCTGGCTAATTATTTCCATTTTTTGTAGAAATGGGGTCTCGCTCTTCCTCAGGCTGCTCTCGAACCCCTGACCTTAAGTGATCCTCCTGCCTCAGCCTCCTAGAGTGCTAGGATTACAGGCATGAGCCACAGTGCCTGGCTGGTCCCTGACTCTTGAAAGCATCTCTCAATACGTCCTGAGTCTAACTGGGCTCGGGACATAGTGGTGCTCCCTTTGTCTTCTTGGCTCGGGGATTTTGGTAACAGGAGATAAGTGTGAAGATTGCATGGATATGCCCATGTCTCTCAGTTTTTCCATTTGTGAAGTTGGGGTGGGTAGTTGCTTAAATTCATCTCTAAGATATGGACTAGAAATTCAAGGAAGACCTTAGGGATTCATTTAATAGCACAGAAACTACATAGAATTCCCTTCCTCCCACCACCACCTTCTCTGCCCAGTAAACTCCTCTCCTCTCAAAACACATTTCAAACATCTCCTCCCTGGGCTTCTCTGCAGTCAGTCATCTGTCTTCTCTGTTCCTGTAGCAGAGTCTCGGCCTGTATTGACGGCCCCACCCATTGTGATGGACGACGTTTTCTGGGTGGGGGAAATCGGTCCTGTGTCTCCCTTCCAGATAACCTTTCCATTTTCCCAGAACTCCTCAGTGTAAATGTGGATAATGCAGAAATACAGGGAGCAGAGATTGTGAGCAGAAGAGAAAGGGAAGTGAAGTAACATTCACTGAGTCTCTATAATGCACCTGTCAGGTGCTTCATGTGTGTTATTTCATGTGAAGCCCTTACTTAAAAATGGCCTCTCCCACAATAACTCCCATCCCTACACACACACTGCTTTTTCCAGCTATGACACCTGTGATCCTGCCATTTCTCCCTCCTGGGACACCTTTCCTCCTGCCTGTTTCTTCCTGGGTTCCTCTTGTGTGCTCGTCTCCATACCCAGGACCTAGTAGCCTGGGGGTTTGCCTGCCCCAGAGGAAGGTGGTCATTGTACCCAGCCACATGGTTAGGATCTGCACTTAGAGTTCAGAGAGACAAAAAGCTCAAAGGAAGAGCCTGCCTGGCCCCTCCTAGCCTGAGAACAGTAGGACCCATTCAACCAGAGACTCCCTTGTTCCAAGACTCTAGAGTTGTTCAAAGTTTTGTGATGATGGCTGGCCCTGGAATGTTGACTCACCTCTTCTAAGATTCTAGAACTCTGAGATTCTGCAAACAAGGGAGAGGGCTTCTGCTTTAGGATGTGATTGGTCTCTGCCACCTCTCTGGGGGTCACCTGGCCTCAGGACTCCAGACAGGCCCCCTGGGGCCAGGACCAGCCTGGAGGAAAGCCCCGACTTGCCCCTGTCTTCAGGTCTGCTGTGGCAGATGAATTCTCATTCATAATTGATCCAGTTGCTTGGCAAGCAGGGGCTGCAGGTGCGTGGGGCGGAGAGGATACTCCCCAGAGACCCTCTTCTCCCCTCTGAGGAAGGAGCTGCTCTGCCAGCCTGCAGGTCCCTTCCATGGCAACAGCTGCTTAACACCCGGCAGTCCCCGCACCAGCCTCCCTCGCCCACCCCCTTGTCTCCCTCTCCTTCTCCTGAACAAGGAGCCAACTTTCATTCAGCAAACTTTTACCAGCTGCACCCTGAGTGCCAAGTGCCGGTTGAGCATTTGGCATTGAACACAGATGTGGATCTCATAAGCAGAGTTTGGGGTGCAAGATATGTATAAGGGATCAACATCTGTGCAACGAATGCAGGCTGCACTGGGAAAAGTGTGGCCTCAGGCCAGGTGGCTCTCCCCAGCTGAGGCAGACCGGAAGTTGCTGACAGTGGAGGCTGACTGTATCCCCACTCCAGGCATCAAGCCCTTCCTTGAAGGAGCGTCTGGGAAGCCAGTATAATAGCCATTATCTGATTAACCCTCACCTACTCATGGGTGTAGGAATTAACAAACTCATTTTACAGATAAGTACACAGAGGTTAGGTGGCATAGCCAAAGCAGCTTCCAAAAAGGAAGTTAGAGTCACAACTTGAACCCAGATTATGTCCATGGCCAACGTTTTATGATCTCTTCGCCATACCACTGGGGTCCTTTGCACTGGGGATCCATTTTGTCCATTCCTTTGTTTTTAAGGACCTCACTCTGCTGCCCAGGCTGGAGTGTGGTGGCGTGATCAAAGCCCACTGCAGCCTCGAGTTCTGGGCTCTAACAATCTCCCTGCTTCACTCTTCCCACTAGCTAGGACTACAGGCACACACCACCATGCCCAGATAATTTTTTCTTATTTTTCGTAGAGACGGGGTCTTGCTTTGTTGCCCAGGCTGATCTCAAACTCCTGGCCTCAGGCAATCCTCCAGCCTTGGTCTCCAAACGTGCTGGGTAATAGGTGTGAGCCACCATGCCTGGCCTTGTCCATTTCTTTTAGGTGCAAATTGTCACTGGAAGGAGACCATCAAGGATAATTTCCCTGAGCTTCACCCCCACAAAGCGTCCTTAGTATCTAGTCCCTCTTTGCCTCATCTTCCTTTAGGAATCTATTCCTCCTCCACCTTCAGTCCACATGGTCCAAGGGAGGCTCCAAATCCTGCTCCAGCATAAAGCATGTGACCCAGGCCCAGCCAATCAGTGCGTCATGCTCCCCAGGCTCTGCAATTGGTTCATAGCTGGCACATGACCCTTGGGGAACTAATCAGAGTGAATTCCAGGACATTTGCCAAAGCTGCCAGGAAGGGGTCTTACTTTTTCTAGCTGTACTTGAATCTGCAACAATTAGAACTGGAGCGCTAGGCATGTTTCAGTTATTCATTTCTGCATAACAAACCACCCAAAAAACTTACTGGCTTAAAACAATAATGGTTAATTATTTCTCACGATTCTGTAGGTTAACAGAATGGGGCTTCTGCTCCATATGGTGCCATCTGGGGTCATTCATGTGGCTGCATTCAGCTTTGGCTGGACTGGAAGGGCCAAGAAGCACTAGTATGTGTGTGTAAATCAGGCTGTAAACAGATGTACTGTCATACAGGCTTTGTTGTTTTATTTATATAGTGCAGGCCAAGCACATGTAGCATAGTTCTGAAGGGACCTAGGATTTTTGAAATGGTGAATGAGCATTGGCTTTGACTTAAAGTCACCAGCTGCATTAGCCCCTCACAAGAAGGGGTCAGCCTGTCCTTTGAAGCTTTGAAGCCAGGTATTGACTTCTCCTCTCTAGCTATCGAAGTCCTAGATGGCTTCTTCTTCCAATATAGGTTGTTTTTTTCTATGATGAAAATCTGTTGTTTAGTGTAGCCACCTTTATCAGTAATCTTTCTTTTTTTTTTTTTTGACACAGAGTCTCACTGTTGCCCAGGCTAGAGTGCCATGGCATCAGCCTAGCTCACAGCAACCTCAAACTCCTGGGCTCAAGCGATCCTCCTGCCTCAGCCTCCCGAATAGCTGGGACTACAGGCATGCACCACCATGCCCGGCTTATTTTTTTGTATATATTTTTAGCTGGCCAATTAATTTCTTTCTATTTATAGTAGATATGGAGTCTCACTCTTGCTCAGGCTGGTTTTGAACTCCTGACCTTGAGCGATCCTCCCACCTCAGCCTCCTAGAGTGCTAGGATTACAGGCGTGAGCCACCTCTCCTGGCATTTCATCAGTAATCTTAGCTAGATCTTCTAGATCACCTGTTGCAGCTTCTACATCAGCACTTGCTATTTCACCTTGCACTTTTACATTATGGAGGTAGCTTCTTTCTTTAAATCACATGAACCAACCCCTGCTAGCTTCAAACTTGCTTGTGCAGCTTTCTCACCTCTCTCTGCTTGCATAGAATCGAAGAGAGTTAGGGCCTGGCTCTGGATTAGGCTTTGGCTTAAGGGAATGTTGTGGCTGGTTTGATCTTCTATCCAGACCACTCAGACTTTCCCCACATCAGCAATAAGGTTGTTTTGCTTTTTATTATTTGTATGTTTACTGGAGTAGCTCTTTTAATTTCCTTCAAGAACTTTTCCTTTGAATTCACAATTCGGCTAACTGGTGCAAGAGGCCTAGCTTTCAGCCTCTCTTTCAACATGCCTTCTTTGCTGAGCTTAACCATGTCTAGCCTTTGATTTAAAGAAAGAAATGGGGGGAAAGGCAACACATGTAACCTAAACATTTTTACCCCCATAATATGCTGAAATAAAAAAAAAAGAGAGAGAGATGTGAAATTCTTCCTTTTACCTGAATATTTAGAGGTCATTATAGGGTTGTTAATTGACCTATTGTTAGTTGGACAGTTAATATTTCAATAATGTGGTATCTCAAAGAATAGGAAGGCCCAAGGAGAGAGAGAGAGAGACAGTGGAGCAGTCAGAACACACAACATTTATCAATCAAGTTCACCACCGTGTTTGGGCATGGTTTGTGGTGTCCCAAAACAATTACTATAGTAATGTCAAAGATCACTGATCACAGATAAAATGACAATGAAACAGTTTGGAACACTGCTAAAATTACCAATACGTGACACCAAGTGAGCACGTGCTGTTGGATACATGGTGCTCCGTGCAGGGTTACCACAGACCTTCAAATAAAAAAAAGTCTCAATATCTGCGGAGTAAAACAAAGCAAGGTGCAATAAAATGAAGAGTGCCTATACCGGAGCCATGGAACTGTAGGGTGTAGCAGGCAAGGTCCTTACCGAAATCACATGCACTCAGGTTGGTAATTTCAGGAGAGTATGATAAAGGGGCTATCTGTAAAGGTGTTGGTAGAGTTTAGGGAATGCAACAAAGGGTGCTGCAGTTCCTCTGGGCTAGAAATAGTGGGGTGCCTTTATCACCCCTAGGCCTAAAGGGCAAGGACAATAATGGTGTGGTTACCAGAACCCAGAGAGAGTAGCTGTGGCTCCAGGAAGGAGTGCTGTCAGGAGCTGGGGCCTTTGGAAAGAACCTGGGAGGGAGAACCTAGAGGGAGAAATCTTCTACCCACCTTCTCCCTCCCTCTGATCACCTGCCATTGCTTCCCATTGGCCGAACCCCACTGGAAGGCAGAGGCCAAGGGAGTTGCTGGTGCAGTCCATGTGGGTCAGCCTCCAAGCCTCAGAGCAGGGTAGCCAAGGCTGGAGAGCAGAACTGCAGGGCCCTAGGAAGATACGCAGCACTCAGAGTTGTCCTCGAGTAACCTGAAAACGAAGCCAGTGCAACACAACATAGAGAGGTTAGATGGAAAGAAACTGGATTCTGAGCACATCATCTGGGCCCCTGAATCCAGCAGAGCCTGCAGCAGTTCTATTCCCGGGATTTTCAGCTATATAAGCTAATACATTTTCTTTTTGCTTAGGCTAATTTGGGTTGATTTCTGTCTCTTGCAACCAAGAAGTCCCTGACTCATATAGTCCCATGGAGGAGCTGGCCCTTTAAGGGAATGACTACATTTCACCCTCACCAGAATCCTGAGAAGTTGGCAGGGCAATGCCATGTTGCAGGTGAGCAAATTGAGGCACAGAGATATTCAGGGACTTGGTCTAGGACAGGCCATCTAGCTCATTAGTTGCAGAGATGGGATCTAAAGATGGCCCAACCTCCATGTTCCAGCCACATTTAGGCTCTCTCTGTCCCCCGAAGATGCCATGTTCTTTTGTCTCTCGGTGTGCAGTGAGTTGAATCGTGCCTCCATCCCCCATTACAGAGATGTCAAAGTCCTAATCCTGGGTACTTGTGAATGTGACCTTTTTTGGAAATAGGGTATTTAACGATGTTATGAGGTCAAGCATCTCAAGGTGAAATCATCCTGGGTTTAGGGTGGGCTCTAAATGCAATGCCAAGTGTTCTTATAAGGGAAAGGAGAAGGAGAATTGAGACAGAGACACAGGGAAAGGCCACGTGAACACAGAGAGCAGAGGCAGAGATTGTAGCGACAGACCTAAAAGCCAAGGAACACCTAGGCTGGCCCACGACCCCCAGAAGCTGTGAAAGAAGCATGGAGCGGATTGTCCCTCAGAGGCGCCAGAGAAACCAACCCTGCTGACCCCTTGATTTTAGGGTCTGGCCTCTGGCACTGTGAGAGAATATATTTTTGTTGCTTTAGGTCCCCATGTTTATGGTAATTTGTTACAACAGCCCTAGGAGGCTAATCCAGAGCCTTTGCACATGCTGTTCCTTGTGCATGGAACACGGTCCTCTTCTCTTCCCCAGACATCTTCCCTACTCTGCCCCTTGGTGCGTATAGGTAGACAAACCTGCAGAGAAGAAAGGGGACCTTTTAAGGACTTGCTCTCACTCCCCCTCACGTGTCTTTCCCCCTTGTCCCTCAGGTCTCAGCTCAAATGCCACCTCCTCCGAGATGCCCTCCCTGTGTCCCTGCCCTTCTCTGCGCTCCCGCAGGTCCCTGGACTGCCCCCGCACAGTTGTGCTGGCATCGCCTGCAGACCTGGCTCGTTCTCCGCTCCCCCGGCGGCCTGGGCGCTCCTCAAGGGCAAGGGCAGTCCTCTCGGTGGTGGCAGCTCTGCCTCACGCAGGTTCAGGCATGGTAGAGACACTCGCTGATGTTTGCTGAATGAGTACATGAATAAATGTCCCCCTCCGGTTCTGCGCCAGCTCTGGACGCTTGCCCCACAGGGGAGAGGGCACAGGTGACAGAGTTCAAGGTCACCAATGGCCGGTGCGGTGGGACACCCGTCCTAGGGTCCAGCCGTACCTCAGCACAGCCCTCCTGCCCGCGTTGCCAAGGCCCTGTCAGGGACGTGACAAACAGCTTGGCTGATGGCTTATAATGTCAGGGATGATGGAAACAGGGAGGCAACGGCTGAAAGAATGGGCTGGGGACGCTTGTCATAACTTTATTTGTGGGAGGTGAGTTCCTGTCGGCAGGGTGATGGATGGCGGCAGGGCAGGCACAATACAGACCCTGCCACTGCCTCTCTCCCCTTTCTCTAAGCCAATGACTTTGGGGATGAAAAATGACTTTCTTGGGAGAACCAAGGGGAGGGGAGCTTCCTGGGGAGGGAGCCATGTGGTCGGCACCTTGGAATGACTTTTGCTTCTCTCTTGCTGAGAGTTGACTTTTGCCTAGTCCAGTAGTTTCTTTCTCCCTCCCTCCCTCCCTTCTTTCCCAGATTATTGGTAATAATCCCAGACACATTGCCTACTTTCATTCTCCAAACTGCCATGAAAAGAGCATATGCTTTTACAGATGAGGAAACCGACGCCTGAAGAGAGGAAATAACATACCCATGTTCCCCAAGAAGGAAGTCGAAGACCCAGGATTTGAACCTGGGTCCAATGACTCCAAAGCCAGACCTCTTTCCACAACCATGTGATAAAGGCCACAGAAGCAGCATGTACCAAGTTCCCTGGAAACACAGCAAAGAGAGCAATTGATCTGACAGGAGAAAGGCAGGCGAGACTGCCCAGAACAGATGACAATTGAGTTGGTCCTTGAAGGGTGAATAAATGTTGACTGGTATAGACAGAAGGCAACAATTTAGAAACAGGGAGAATTGGGGAGCGAGAAGAGAAAAGAAGGGATTTGCATACATTTTTGTTTGTTTACCCCAAACCAGTTGCTGTCCCCTTTCTTCTTTCTAAAAGAACCTAGATTTTGGGGGGGCAATCCATCCTTCTACACATAGCCAGGGGCTTCGCAAAGCCATTCATGGAGCCCCAATTCCCTTATGAGTGATTGGTTTGGAAACAGGAATGGGAACGATTCTGCCCAATGAGATATCAGGAATGTTTGCTCAAGGGCTTCTGGAAAAGATTTTTTTTTTTTCCAGAAAGAAAAAGTCCCTCCTCTTCTGCAGAACATGGTGACATCTGTACACAATGCCTGGTGGTGTGGCAGCCATCTTGTGACCATGTGGATAGAACTAACACTGATGATGACACAGTGGGAAGACAGAGAGGACATCATTAAGTGGTTGAATTAATGACTCTTGCAGCCATCATACCTCAGAACTTAGTCTTTGAGTTGATACCTTTGTCTAATTGTTAGCTGGCTAGGTTGGTGGTTTCATTTTTGCAGATCAAAGCATTCTGACTGATATGAGAAGAGGTAAAGAGAATGAATGTCACACCTCCCAAAGTCTCTACCTCTCAATACTATCACATTGGGGATTATATTTCAACATATGAATTCTGGGGGACACAAACATTCAGACCATGGCAGACGGCATGTGCAAGGTCCACACTACGTTGGTCTGAAATCTGACTATACCTGGCTGTGTGACCCTGGGCAAGTTACCTAACTCCTCTGAGCCTCAGCTCCATCATCTGTCAGATGGGAATAGAGAGGTTATTAGAATTAAATAAATCTGGAAGGCAGATTCATGGAGCCAGGACCAAAACCAGGGCACAGAGCTGAGGGCTGGGTTTCTGGCAGCTGAATCCTTGCTCTCTACTCCGCTGGTGCAGGCTCAGCCAACTGGGGCTAAGAGTTGACTTTCCTTGCCCCGCTCCTTGTACCTTCCTTCTTCCTCCCTCTCCTGGACAGTATTTCCCTGGGGCTGCAGTTACCAATTTGCAGAGCAAAGGCACGCACAGGCGGTTCAGGGGTGGCACGAGCTCGGCAGCTCTGGTATTGTTTTTAATTCAATATTTTGTCCCTGTGCGCCAGCCTCCTTTATTGGATGAGAACACTGTTATTGGATCCTGCCCTGCAGGAGAAAACGCCGGCCTCCGCGGACGATGGCAGCTGGGTTGTTCTAGAGTCAAGGCAGGGTGAGAAGACAGCAGAGAGCTCCAGAAACTCTGGTGGTTACAAGCTTTTCTGTGACACACACACAAATATTAACATATGTATTCCTGACCTTTCCCTCCCGCCCTCCCTTCTAGGGGGCACAAAAGCCCAGGAGGCAGCTTTTACAATGCCCTGTCCCTTCCTCTGCACATCACCGCCTCTCTTGGTCCAACTGATTTTACCTTCACTCTGCCGTACCAGATGCTACTCAGTTCAAGCCCCAGGCATCCCCTGTCTAGACAACCGGTCTGCCCCCATCCTCCCCTGCTGCCTTCAAACTGATTGTTCTTGTTATAGACTCTTATTTGAGATCTCCTAAAAGACCGAGATGAGGATTTGAATGTACAGAGTTTATTTGGAGGGAGATCCCAGGAAACACCCAGTGTGGGAAAGTCAGGGAAGGGAAGGCAGGCAGGAAAGGGGTTTTCAAGCCGGTTATCCTGTGGGCACTTGGAGGTCAATGGCACCAGCCACAGGTCCCTCAGAGTCCTGCCACCTGAGGACTGAGGGGGCTGGGTATTTATTTGCTAAGCCCATTACGGATCAGGGAGGGGCTGTTCATTCTCTGACACGTCTGCCCTGCTGCACAGGCAGGGAAAGCGTGTTCCCGCTGTCAGAGACAGGTACCAGCAGCTGGAAGGCTGCCTATTGTAAGCTGAAACGTCTGGAGAAGGGGTAAGGGGGGCGCTGGCAGCACCTCTCTGCCAGACACAGCCTCTGATGGCTTCCCACTGCTCTTTGGGCTAAAGACCCAGATCCTTTTCTCCATTCTAGCAGACCCCCGTGGGCCAGCTCCTGCCCACCCCTGCTTCTTCCCCTCCTCCACCCTCCCCTTCACTTCCGGGCCCCAGCCTTCCTGGCCTTCTCTCTGCTCCACAAATGTGCTGCCTCTCACCACTCCCTCTCCTCCACGGGCCCAGCGAGAGACTCCATTTCCTAACTTTTCTCGCATGCAGGAGTGGCCGTGTGACTGCTTTCTGGACAATGGGATGAGGGTGGGAGCGAACACAAAGCTTGCAGGCTGTATACCTCTCACGTGATCCTCCATGCCCTCTCTTCCCACCCACCGACTGGGAGCAAAAGTCTCCAAGGTCCTGGAGGATGGTGAAGCTGCAAAGTGAGAAGAACCTGGATGGCTGATTCCACGAGGAGAAGGCCACATGCCAAGCATCTGTTAATACCTAACACTATTGTATAAGCAAGAAATAAACACCCATTGTGTTGTTCATTGCTCTAGACTACTGTAACTGACACAATATTTTTACCCACATTTTACAGATGGTGGAAAAGAGGCTCAGAGAGAGTGACTTGCCCAGGTTTGCACAGCCGGAGCATGGCAGAGCTGGGACTGGGACTCCAGAAAGCTGCTGCTTTCCATGTTGCAGGCCTTCAAAGTATGTTTCCGGAATGAATTCAATTAAGAGTCTTCATCCTTTAGCCTTTCTATGAAAAGCCCAGGGAAAAAGCATTTCAAAAATAAATAACAGAGTGATGGGGCGGGGGGGGGGGGGAGGACAAGATGTATTGGTCTCCCCCACTAGATTGTAAGTTTCTGTAAGGCATGTGCTTTTTGGGTACTCATTTTTAACCTCTTCACTATGGCTGGCATAGTACTTGGTGCACTGTGGGTGCACAAAGATGGCTGCTCAGCTGAATTCTCACAGATAGCATGGACTAGGGGCCCCAACTTTTTCAGATGGTGGAAAGTACCTTGAAATCATTGTCTCTCTCACAGAATACCATGAAATATGGACAAATTAATTTTAAAATGAGTGAATATATAATTTAGTGTGAAATCAAATACCATCTTGTACTAGACTCTGCCACGAAAAGTGGAAACAGGGGCCAAAGTTGGGGAGAGTGCACGGAGGAATAATTATAAATGAAGGCAATTCTCCCTACCGTGAATTGGCCTAAGACCACCAGGCCTTCACAACTGGATTTCAGTGGTAGAATGGCTGGGTCCCATTCACAGAATTAATTATTCCACTGGTTGCATATTTTGAAAACCACTAGATGAGCTGGTTGGGGTAGGAGGGACCAGTTAATGGACAAAGTCCTGTTTTCACATTTGCTAGTTAGCAGCTTTAAACCAACTAGTGGCCTCCCCAGAGCTAGCCAACAGGATTCTGTGCAAGTGTTTTTGTATTAGCTTCGTTTCTGTCTCTGTTTTATGCTCTTCTCTAAGCTTTTCCTGCTTTCCTTCCATTTATGCCACCTTGCTGTGCTTTATGTATCTTTGTAAGCCACCTTAAATCCTTTCTGGAATAAGGTAGGGGCATAAATAAAAACATACAACATATAACACATAAATATAAAATGTAACAAGCTCTGTAAAAGCCTATTCCTAAAATGCCAACAGTGGTTGTTTATCCGGAGAGAAACAAGGTGATTAGACGCATGTAGGGGGGAGTGTGCATCCAAAGGGGACAGAAGCAGGTAATTTTGCAAAGCCCCAGGTATGGGAATTGCAAATAACTTGAAGAAATGCCATGAAGATAAAATATTATATTTATTATTTACCTTTATACTTATCTATTTTATATATTCATTTTATTATTTACTTATGTTATACTTGTTCAGGATAGAAATTGAGAAAATAGAAATAAGCAAAAAGAAAAAATTAAAGCCACCCACATCATACTTCTCAGAGAACATCACCACTAACATGCAGTTGTAGAGCCTTTTCATCTTCTTTATGTAAGATTTGGGGAGGGGGGGTTGTATCCCCGCAGATCCTAAAGTAGGGCTTGTTGTCTGATGGATTAATGCCCCTCCCCCATCAGGTAACAGGGATGATGATGAAGAGGAGAAGAAGGGGAAAGAAGAAGAGGAGGACAAGAGGAGAAGGAGAAGGGAGTTATGGAAAGGAAAGAGTCTTTGAGGTTCTGAGTGTGGACATCTGAGGGAATTGGGAGAAGACAGCGTCTGCCGTCTGGTCTCAGTCAGGGATGAGATCTGACCCTCATAGGGTGAGGTCTTATGTACAGAAGAGGTGAGAAACAGGGTACAAGCAGAACTTGCCTTGGGGCCCAGAAAAGGGCAACCCAGCACTGAGGACAGCTGCCTGTACCCCATGGTTCTGCAGGGTGCAGTATGGCTCTCTGTTGCTATGAGGACCCAAGCAGTAGGCCTTGGTACCTCCAGGGGCCTGAGTTACTGGAGTGCCGTAGAGCAGTGCCCCAGGCAGGGCAGCAGTGGCAGGGGAGAGGATCCCCTTTTATGTGACATGGGGGCACCATGTGCCAAAAAAGGGCCAGAGCAGAGGATCCCTTGAGAGGATCAGCCAGGAGTATATGTGAACATATGTACGCTGAGAAATAATTCAGTCATTCATGGGAGCTGGGCTGAGATTTGTGCACTGGTGCAGATGGAAGCTCTGAGTCAGAGACAGTTAATTAATGTCAATGTAGCATCGTTTATATGCTCAGGACGTCAAGCTTAGAAAAATTTAGATCTTTTAAATATAGACATGGGTATGTATGTATCTTTTTCTAAGCAAAAATTTGTGTTTTCAGCATGAGTAGGGGATTTTCTGAAACTTCTGAGAAGGTTGAAGTAGATCAGTTTCTCTGAAGGTGTGTCTTTCATAACACCGGTTCCATAGGATACTAATGTGTTACATGAAAAGTGGCTTCTGTGGTGAAATGAACTTGGAAAACATTGGGTGGAACAAAGTTAAACAGTTTCCGCCATATAAGATTGCTCAGAGCTTTTAATATACTAATGTGCATTATGATCCTCTATGGGAAAGTGCAAATTTAGCAGTTTCCCTTTTTGCTGATATGGGGTGCAGGAACATTCTTTGCCTTCATTGTTGCTGGTGTTAATTTCATTGATATCTGCTGTGAATGATTCAGGGCATCTAATGGGTGTTAATCAAATGCTCAGATTATCAATAGGTCATAGTGACTACCAGTCACTATGAATCTCATTCTTTGGTACCTAACCTGCTTGGACTTTGTATATCTCTTGCTGCACAACAAATTACCTAAAACTTAGGAGGATGAAACAACAAGCATTTATGATTTCACTGTTTCTGTGGATTAGGAATTTAGGGATGGCTTCCGGCTCTCTATGTCTCATGAGGTTACAGTCATCTGAAGGCTTGACTGGCTGGAGAGGCTCCACTTCCAAGAGGGTCCCAGTGAATCTCACTTCCTGGTATTCATGCCCTGTGGAGTGCCCTCCCACAGTGAATAGGTCTGAACTGTGCGATCCATAGATACTGCAGAAATGATGGACTAAATTCTGAGGCTAGGTCACAAAAGGCACTGTGGCTTTTGTCTTACTCTCTCTTGGGTCACTTGCTCTGGGGGAAGCCAGTCAGCATGTTGTGAGAACACTCAGTCAGCCTGATAAAGACATCTACGTGGCGGGGAACTGAGGTTTCCAGCCAACAGCCAGTATCAACGTGCTGGCCATGTGAGTGAGCCATCTTGGAAGTGACTGACATCTTGACTGCAACCTCATGAGAGACTCTGAGTCAGAACCATCCTGATAAGCTGCTTCTAAATTCCTGATTCTTTGAAGTTGTGTGAGATAATAAATGTTCGTTGTTATTTTAAGTCACTAAGTTTTGGGGTAACTTGTTAGGTAGCAAGACACAACTAATATACATCCTTAGTGCTAAGGCTGCATAATAAACAACTGCTTCTGCTTACTTGCTAGGGAATCTGCTTACTTCCCAAGAGCAAAGTGGTTTTGGCCAATGTCCTTTTTACTGGCCTCCAATGGTGATAGCACAAATAGTTCTCTCTATCCATTATTACTAAAGCATTTCTGGAAGGCCTCACTCATGAGGGTCATTGTTGTGAGGCATTGATGGGAACTGCTTCTCAGAATTAGGGGCTTATGAAATTTGTTACATTCTTATGGGCCATTGTGAGAGCTGGTTTTATGGCTTTTCCAGCTGAACATACTTGACTGCAGAATCCTTTCTTTAGGCAAGGGACACATCTGGTCCCTACCAGCATCCTTTCTTCCTTCTCCCTTCATCCTAAGAAAGAGCCTCAAAAAAAAATGATCTCTCTTATTCTTCTCGATGTTGTACCTGGAACTGCTGCCGCCACCCTGTTGCCAGAAGAATGAGTTCCAATTTATCTGTCATTCACCTTCAACAACTACTAACTCAACAATAATTTTATCATCTATTCTTACACTCAAATTCATACTTACTCCCGCCTCTGATTATTTTGAAGCAAATTCTAGTCATCCTATTATTTCTTACATAAATTAAAGTATGCATCTTTAAAAGATGAGGACTCCTTTAACATCATCACAATTCCATTATCACACCTCAAACCCCTTCTCTCTCTTCTGCCAAATAATTCCTTTTCATCACATATCCATGACTATTGAGTTTGTACTTGGCTCACAGTGTATCTAGGAACATAAATTCTCCTTGTGTCTAATCAAGACCTGCTGGGAGAGATAATTACTCTTTAGCAGTCAATAATCTCCTGCGCCTGGATCATAAGTGTCAGTACTATCTGAAAGGTTAACTGAGCCCAAATCCCTACTGTGAAATGCAGAGTCAGACAGATTTGGATTGGAGCCTTGCCAGTTACTAACTATGACTGTGGGCAAGTAACTAAACTCCCCACATTTCAGTGTTCACAATTATTTACAAATATTAGAATACAGAGGATCTAGGGACCTGGACTTTGGGAAGGAGAAGCAGAAGGAACAGACTCTTCCTGAGCCCCAGAAATTGCATTTTGCTCTCTAGAAAACATATTCCCCTTCCCACTGCCCACTCTGTAACTCTTCCCCACCTATTCAGTGCCTAAATGGAGGAGTCGGAATTTCTTTGGCAGTGTTATTTTTTTTAAATCAGCTCAAGTTCTCAGGGTGGGAGCTCAATATTGGTGATAAATATACTTTATGAGTATTTTTTGAGGATATTTCCTTAAAGGCTCTTCCAATAAATAATTTACTAGGGCACTGAAAAATGGAGGAGGCAACTCCGATTACATCTTACAGTATCAAAAGCTAAAGGAACCTAGGCAGCTCACAGCTATTTAAAAACTTTCTGGAAGGGATAAGTCTTCCACATTTCTTTAAAAGGTTACAGCCCAGCAGTTGGTCTCCTGGGTAGTGCTCTTCTCTCAGCTCTCTTGTGGATGTCACTCTGAAATCATCATTATCACATGTTTTTGGCCTGTTTGGTGCATTGCACATAGCTTTTCTGAACATTCATTTCCTTATCTTTAAAATTGAAACAGTCACATTGTTTGGGTTTAGGGTAGGAATTTGATAGTATTATGGCCAGGAATGAATGAATGAATGAATCAATCAATCAATAGATAGACTGGTTCATGTATTCAATCAACAACTTTTGGTGAATACCAATTAAGCGCCAAGTATTGTGTTAGGTTCTGAGGTTATCATGGTGCACGATACAGCAATCTCTGGCTGTTTTGGAACTTAGAATCCCAAAGGGAAAGCAGACCTCCAAATGAGTTAAATGCAAATAATTATAGAAACAGAAATCATAAATGAAGATAATGGTGAGGAATTCTGGTAAAAATCTGGAAGGCAGGGCGGGACTGTCTCAGATCTTGTATCCAGGGAAAGTTCCTGTGATGTGGGATATTAAGCTGAGACTTGGCAGATGAGTACCCCAAGCCTCATCCCTGGGGAGGTTCCCAAGAAATTATTAATGAACCTTCTCATCAAGATAAAATTGAAATATCTTAATATGGCATTCAAGATCCTCCAATATTAGGGTTGCCAGATAAAATAAAGGACTACTCAGTTAAATCAGAATTTCTGATAAGCAACGAAGTCTTTAGTAGGTTATTAAATATTGCATGGGACATATTTATACTAAAAAATTCATTGTGTATCTGAAATTCAGATTTAACCAGGTATCCTGTATTTTTATTTGCTAAATCTATTAACCCTATCTGTGATCTTCCCTTGCCTACTTCCCACCATTTCCTCCGTACATTCTATGCCCTGTCTACAAGAAATAATCCAATCTCCGTGTCTTTGCTTATGCTGTTCTCTCTGCCAGAGTCACTATTCTTCTACTACATCCTCTTGGCCAACTCTTCTCATCCTTTATACCCTACTCCAAATGGCACCTTCTCTGGGAAACCTGCCCAGCAGAGCACATTATCCTCATTTGCTCACCAAACCTGGTTCTCATAGGATTTTGCCTAATAATTCTATGTTTTAAGGCTGCTTCTAAAAATACATAGGCAAGACAGAATGCTTGAAAAGGAAAGTGTGTAAGAAATGCTCTGATCCCTCCTGCCCTCTCCTTGCTCCCATCCCACTCAACTCCTCATAATATTAACATCAAACATTGGTTGAGCACCTTTCTGTGCCAGATACTATGCTAAGTGATTTGCATGCAGCATTTCAGGTAAACCCTCTACAACCTACTGAAGTTGTAGGTCTCCCTCTACAACCTTATGAGGGAGATTTGGTTGAATCTCTACTTTACAGGTAAGGACATCAGGCATGCAGAGGTGAAGTTGCTTCTCCTGTTTCCACATCTATAAAATGAGACTCATAACAATAGAGTTTTCTCCCCAACTAGAATGTGGGTTCCAAGAAGGCAGGAACTTTGTTTATAAAACTTTGTTTTATAAAATACTATATCCTTGGAGCCCAGAATTGTGTTTAGCCGTGAGCAGGCTCTCACTAAATATGTGTTGAATGAATGAATGAGTCATGTTACAGATGAAGAAAGTGCAATTTAGAGAGAGAGAGAGAAAGTAACTTGCCAAGGAGCACACAGCCAGATGTGGTGGAGCTTTGACTAGAACCAGAATCAGGGGTGTGCTGGCAGATGGTTAACAACTGGCTCTCTGGAAAAGCAACAGTAACAGCCCCGATTTGTAGCATTTGCTTATTTATATGGTGTAAATATTCCTGGCATGGTGATTTCAAGCAATCAACTTGATGTCAATCAGTTTGCAAACTTTCTGAAAATTTAACCATGGACTTTTGTAAGCCTGTCTAACAAGTTGGCTCCAGCACACACCATGAAATAGAACACAGATCTGTTTGTGTCCAAAGGGTACACTCTCACCATTACTCTGTCCCATCTTCCTGAGCAAGGCATAGTCTATATTCGTGCCTAAGTATCAGGGAAAAAGACATCCAAATAAACTTGGTTCAAAGCAGATTGTATAGGTGATCCTTAAAAAACATAAATCTCATCACAAAACTACCCTGCTTAAAATCTTCTCAATGCTGTTTGCATAAAATCCAGTCTCCTTACCATGGCCCACAAGGCTGATTGAGAAACCTTCCCCTCTAGCAGGCACTGTACTAGGCTTGATGGATAATGCAGCAGTGAACATGACATACACAATCCCTGCTCTCACAGAGCCTGTAGTCCAGTCAATGAGGCTGTCAATAAACAAGTAAACAATCATTAAGTACAAAATTACAGACTGAAACATACATTTAGTGGAGAAGGTACTAGGAAAGGGAATAATGGGGAGAGGGGTTGCTTACGTGGACTGAGGGTGAGTTGAGGAAGCCACTCTAAGAAAGTAATAGTTGTGTAGCCTCGGACAAGTCACTTTCTGATCCAGCACTGTCAGTTAGAAATATGACAGGAACCACAAAGGAGAGCCACACATGCAATCTAAAATTTTCTACTAACCATATTTAAGAAGTAAAAAGAAATGGGTGAAATTAATTTTATAATATATTTCATTTGACCGAATATATCCAAAATGTCATGTTAACATGTAATCAATATAAGTCTTAGAAATCCAGTGTGTATTTTATTTACACTTATGTCACATCTCAATTCAGACTAGCCATATTTCAAGCGCTCAGTAGTGAGTCTAGTATAGTATGGCTAGTAAGTATAGTATTTATAGGATTTAGGGTGGGAATCTGAAGGTATTTTATAGTATTATGGCCAGAATGAGTGAATCAATCAGTAGACTGATTAGCTCATGTATTAAACCATGTTCTGAGCCTCAGTTTCCTCACCTGTGAAATGAGAGTGAAATGAGGATAAATCACTGGAAGCTTGTGAGAGCGCAGGTCAAGCACCCAGCACTCCGCCCTAGACATAAGGGCTTCGCAATAAAACGTAGGTTTCTTTGGGCCTTCCTCTCCCCTCCCTTCCCTCCTCTAAGTCTCCTCCGTCCCTTTCCCCGCCCGTTTCAGGCTCGGGCGGAAGCGGTACAGTCGCAACTGCAGCGCGCTTTACGGTAGCGCTGCCTTTTACCGCAGTGTGGCCAGCTCTTCCGTCGCGCTCCCTTTTACCCCATTGGCTCTGCGACCCCGCTCGCGGCTCTTTACGGCAGTGTGGCTGTAGTTGTAGCTGAGGGTCCCCGCGGTGTGGGTGTGGGTGGAGGGAACCGGCGTACCCGGTGTTGGCTGGGTCCAGGACCATGGACGTGGGCGAACTTCTGAGCTACCAGGTATGAGGGGCGAGAAGGGCCGGGGGACCACCCCCTTACCCGGGCAGGGGTCGCGGGGCCAAAGTCTCTTCATCTGACCTCCCCTCACCTCACTCCCAGGCCCCTTCACTTCTCAAGCCACCCGGGGGCCCAGACTCACTTCTCTTCACTTCCCGAGGCCCTCGTGGGCTCTTTCCATTCATTCCTTTTCAAGGCCTGAACCCCTTCAGCTCCTCTTCCTCACCCTGGGGCCTGATTTCCTTCAACTCCCCTGAAGCCCCAGGTTCTCTTTTCACAACCTTCCATCCCCTCTCAGCTCGCTTTTCCCCCGTCATTGAGGTGTGGTGGGAGAGCACGGGTCTTTCGTGGATTTGAGCCCCAGCTTCCCACTGACTGGTTGTGTGGCTTTTGGACAAGTCATTTTCCTTTCTTTGAGCCTCAGTTTTTGTAGTATCTATACAGTAGAGACAGTAGTAACTGCCTGGTAGGGTTATTTGAGGGCAGTACCAACTAATGCATGTGAGAGCTGGTTGTAAAGTGTAGAAGGCTGTGCTCGTGTTAATTGTGGCTTTTGGGAGATGTTTGGAACTCTAGCAAAGGATAGGTTCCTAGGAATCTTCTTGTCCCTTTTGCTCAGGATACTTGTGGGGAAACGGTGTCCCACCAGGCAAGGACTTGTCCAAAGCCACTCAGAAACCAACAGCTGGGATTAGAGCTCAGGTGACCTGACTCCTGTCCAGCATGGTAGCTACTAGCCACATATGGCTGTTGAATGCTTGAAATGTGACTAGTCTGAATTGAGAAGTAGTGTAAGTTTAAAATCTCACTGAATTTTGAAGACTTAGTATGAAAAAAGTAAATTTTAAAATATTGATTACATGATCATCCTGATCATGTCAGTTACATTGATTATTGGTAATAACGATTAAAAGATATTAATAGGTGAAAATAATTAATGTAAAATATCTTAATTTTCATGTTGATTACCTGTTGAAAAGATAATACTTAGGATTCATTGGGTTAAAGAAAATATATTATTAAAATCAATATCACCTTTCTTTTTTATTTTTATTTTTTGAGACAGAGTCTTGTTTTTGTTGCCCAGGCTAGAGTGAGTGGCCGTGGCGTCAACCTAGCTCACAGCAACCTCAAACTCCTGGGCTCACGCAATCCTGCTGCCTCAGCCTCCCGAGTAGCTGGGATTACAGGCATTTGCCACCATGCTCGGCTAATTTTTTCTATATGTATTAGTTGGCCAATTAATTTCTTTCTATTTATAGTAGAGATGGGGTCTCGTTTTTGTTCAGGCTGGTTTCGAACTCTTGACTTGGAGCAATCCGCCCGCCTCTGCCTCCCAGAGTGCTAGGATTACAGGCATGAGCCATCGCGTCTGGCCTCAATGTCACCTTTTAAAAACCTTTTTTAATGTGGCCACTGGAAAATGTAAAGTTACATAAGTGGTCCGTTTGCGGCTTTCATTTTATTTTATTGGACAGCGCTGCTGCTGTAGAAAATAACATCTCGGGATGGGGTCCAGGCCCTGTTACTTTAGATAAGGTGGTTGGGGAAGAACTCTGAGGAATGGATATTGAAGGACTGAAGATTGAGAAGGAGCCAGTCATGTAAAGGGGGCACAGTGGTGGAGGCGGAGGGAACAGCCTATTAGAGGACCAGGAGGAGGATTGATGTAGCTGGAACATGGGGAGTGAGCAGGAGAATGGTAGGCGACAAAGCTGGAGATGTAGGCACATGACACACTATGTAGGCCTTCCTTGTGGGCCATGATAAAGAGTTTGAATTTTATATTGAGCGATGTTATGGATAACTTCATTCAACACATTGTTTACAGATGAAAAGTGAATGCTGGTCTGATAAAGGAATTTACCTGAGGTTGTAGGCCAAGGTGGTGGGCAGAGTTGAAAATCAGAGTCCTAGTCTCTTTATTTCCAGCTCTGTTCATTTCTTACGTGTGTTATTCATGCGATTTCCTTTCTGTAGGATCTGTGTCCAGTCTTCCTCTTCCTAAAAGATGGTATAGTCTGGAATCTAGTCCACACTTAGTCACATGCACCTATCCCTTTGTGGAAAGTCATGATGAGTTTCTATCAGATGAGTTTTTGTATGCAAAAACTCTTTGAAAACAGTAACATTTTATAGACATGAAAGATGCTTTACTTACCTGCAGCATCTCTCTAAATCCTTATGAACAACCCTATGAGGAAAGTACTATTTTTAATCCCTGTTGCACAGATACGGAAACTAAGGTACAAAAAAGTCCCTGCCTTAAGGCATCTAGCCAGGTAGTGTGTCATGGGCAGAGTTCTCAGGCAGTCTTATTCCATAGCTGGCACTGCTAACCACTGTGCTGTGTTGCCTGCCTACTGTGTGCCAGAAGCTGAGCCAAGGTGCTTTCAGACAAGTTCTCGTGTTTAATTCTCTCAAGGTTGAGAAGGAGCCAGTCATGTGAAGGGGGCACAGTGGTGGAGGTGGAGGGAACAGCCTATTAGAGGACCAGCAGGAGGATTGATGTAGCTGGAACATGGAGAGTGACCAGGAGAATGGTAGGTGATGAAGCTGGAGATGTAGGCAGATGACTCACTATGTAGGCCTTCCTTGCGGGCATGGAAGGATTTATTTTCTATAAAATTGGCATGCCTGTCTTATGGAAAAGGAAATTCAAGCTAGAGTGGTCAAGTTATGTGCCTAAAGTCAAACAGCCTAGGAGCAGGGCCAGAACTGAAACTAACTGAACACCCAAATGTAGTTTTACATTTTGTTTTCAGATTTTAAAAAACTTTAAAAATTGAAGTATAGTACACATGTAGAGGAATGCATAAATCTTAAGAGCCATTGATTATAGTTATTATTTATGAGGTAGACTCAGTGGGACCACTGAAGTTCACTTCGTGGAGACATGTGGATATGAAGTTGTCTGATTTGAATATCCCCACCCTCGGAGTTTGGTTCAGTAAGTCTCCAATGGTACTTGGATTTTGCATTTCTGGAAGATTTGGGTTGTAATCCCATCTTTATCATTACTTATCTGGGTGACTCAGGACAAGTCATTTTCCCTCTCTGTAAATAATTTTTTTTTTTAATCACTTGCAAAATGAGGAGACTGGACTATATATATGGCTTCAGGTTCTTTCCATTCCTAAAATATATAGAGAGACTAAGGTGAATTCCATTCCTAAAATTCAGAGACTAAGCAAGGAAAAATATCATGCAGTGTCAGAAAATGTTTATTTAAAATATTTAATATTTTTAGTAAAGAAAAGAAAGAAATGAAGTTTTCTTTTTGGGTGTCTATTAAATTTCATCTTGGGGCCAGGTACAGTGGCTCATGCCTATAATCCTAGCACTTTGGGAGGTCAAGGCAAGAGGATCACTTAAAGGCCAGGAGTTCAAGACCAGCCTGAACAACATAGTGAGACCCTGTCTTTACAAAAAATAGGAAAATTAGCTGGGTGTGGTGGAGTGCGCCTGTAGTCCCAACTACTTAGGTCACCGAGGCACTTGAGCCCAGGAGTTTGAGATTGCAGTGAACTATGATGACACCATGGCACTCTAGCCTGGGCAATGGAGTGAGACCCTGTCTTTTAAAAAACATTTTTTTTTTCTTTTCATTTTTGGGGCAACTTGTTGGGAAGATTCCAATTTTCTGCTGAGATTGGTTCTTCTATGAATAATAGAGTTAGGCACTAAGTGCCTCAGTATATGCCTTATATCCTTGACATATGTTAACTATTCATTTGAGAAGACTGGAGAATTACAATGTGGACAGGAGGTGATGGAAAAAGTCTTCAAGAGGAAACTAGTTATGTTCCCAATATGGAAATTCACTTTTTTGATGCCTTCAGGCTTAGACATCTCATCAAGAAGTGTGCCCAGCAGTGCTTTGGCTGAGAAGTTTCTGCTGCATAGGCACGTATATGAACTCCAGGGCACTCTCATTAATACTAATTCCACAGATGTCTGGAAAAAGTTCTTGCCTCCGAAGTTTTGCAATAAAGAATTCACATTTAATGCAGCTTGTGACATGAGAGGAATTCTCTTTGAGGCAGATTGGGGTCAGGGACCCTAGGTTTTGGTGATATTGCAGACTCCCACTCCTCTTGTCACTTATCAGGAATATCTTAGCATTTCCCTTAGGTTGCAGGGGCTAAGAGGAGTCTCTAAACTTGCTCCTTTCCCTCTCTTTCTTTCTTTGAAATGAAGTTTTTTAATGATAATAAACTGACAGGAACAGTATTGAAATATTTGAGAGGAGGAAAACTACTATCCTAAACCAATAAATATTTTTTATATTACCATAGTCCTTATGTATTTTGTGTGGCTGTAACTATCGTATAGCTAGTTTTGTGTTCTATGTTTTTAATTTAACATTGCCAGAAATATTTTCTGTATTATTAAATATAACATAGCCTTCATGTTATTTTTAATATTTACATACTTTTTGCTTGCATGATAGACCACTTTTCCCTAAAGTATTCCCTTATAATTAGATATTTAGGTGGTTTCTAGGTTTTTGTTCTTGGAGATAATATTGCAGTGAACTTCTTTGTTCATGTGGCATTTTTTTCCCTCTCATAGTCATTAGTAATTACCATGTGCCATCTTCTGTGCTAAGTATTGCATGTACTAAAATTATTAAGACACGGTCCTGGGCCTTAAAGAATTCATAATTTAAGGAGCGAGACAGACATTTAAACAACTAACTGTATGAATAAAAGCCTTATGGGAGCACAATGGAAGGAAAGATTGGATATGCCTG